GTGAAAATTCCATCTATTTATCGAACCAAAAGTCACGTAAATAAGACTTTTTTCAGATTTTTAATCCTTTTATTTACAAAGTTTAAGTATAGCTGCTATTCAGAACGAGCACTTTGAAAGTTTAGTTTTTTTTTTCTTTTTTAGTGTTAACTTTTGTTCAGCATCTTTTCGACATTCTACTTTCAAAAAATTCATTTGCGATGCATACATTTTTTGCCGACTAATTTTAATTGATTTCTAATTGTACAGCTAACGCTTCTAAGATCTACAGAATGATGTTTGACTTACGAAAAAAAAACATCAGTTTACTGCGGCTTTTACTATTACAAAAAATTGGAAGTAAAGAAAAAACAAAAGGCTTACTGAAATGTTTGTACTCATTCCTCCTCCATCTAACCCCCCAGAAATTGCTGTTTCGTTAAGTATGAAGCAGAAGAAAATGCTTATAGGTTTGTCCCTTCCCTGTTTTGGGTTTCTTCTCTGTATTTGAGAATAATAGTTAAGATTACAGAATGTTAAACTTTGGTGTCCTAGCAGAGCGGGGGATAGGGAGGCGAAGGGTTGCAAATGATAAACAACAGCAGTTTGGATGTCTTTATTGGCGGCCGTTTAGGGAAGGTTGAAGGTGAATGAGCATAAGCTTTTTTCGTTCATCTTTTTTTTTATTGCCTTATTGATGGCGTCGGCCGCAACTATCTACTGATAAGAGAAACCTGTTGCTATAGACCGTTGAGTGTTATAAAGGGTTAAAATTCAGAAATCTTCTAGTCTGCTCGGGTCGCTAGGCTTTTTGACGGCGATGAGATAGGTTTTAATACTAACAGTGTTATGATGTTTGTAGTCAGTAAACAGTGTCAGCGTACATTCAGATACAAACACGGACGAATATCTATGCATATATTCAAGCAAGCATAAACAGGGACACACACACACACACAGATGAACACACAGAAACCAACAGAAGCATTATCATTATTTCTGTTTAAGCCCCTCGGTGTCTCTAAAAGCTTATAATTTTTTTTTATTTTTTATTTTTTGTTTTTTCTGCAGGCTGGATAGGCTTTTATTCACCTGTAATAATACATAAAACACTCCTCTACCATCATCCTCTTTCCTCTCGATACCGCATAGCTGTGAACTTTTTCCATTTTTTTTTTTTTTTTGCTCACACTTAAAGAACATTTTACATTTCTGCCGTCATACAAAAAAAAGAAAAAAAAAAAGATTTATTTATTTATGTATACAGTTGTTTTCAATCCATACTAAAATGTATTGATTTTATTTCATCAAAAAATCAAAATACCAAAGAAGCAGTCGTTAAATATTGGGATATTCTTTTGCTCTTATCTTCTCATGTTCCAAAATGGGCTGTCCCCCCTCCCCCTTTCTTCACTACTAATCAACAGCACATAAATATGATATGAAACTCAAAAACAAATTGCTTTTTTTTTTCTGTTTTTGGCGTACAAAAAGTCATTAAGAAGAAAGACTTTTTTGAGACTATTTTCTGACTCAGAGGTGGTCAGATAAACAAAAGCTTTTGATACTGTTCCTTGTGATGTGCCCTGTGTTTGCTGGTGCATGTTGGTGTCTGTGTGTATGTGTTATTAAAGCGGTAGATGGGGACTATAGGAAGGCAAGATAAGCTTGATGAGATGTAATACTAGAAAGAAGCCTGATAAGGTGCGCACAAAATAAACATTCATTTCACAGGAGAAAGAATGAGCAGATATTTGTTCACAGTTGCTAAAGTCGTAATAAATGATTGAAAACGGCATTAGGATTAGCAGTAACAACAACAAAAGCCGATGTTGTATGTAAATGGCGATTACCAAAATTTGTTGAATTGATTCCTTAGGTAAGCATAAAATCCAGTGGCCAACCAAAAATTGTTGACAGGACAAAAACAAAGTGTTTGATGACTCATTGAAAATCATAATTGTTTTTTTTGGTTCCTTTACAGGTATGGTACAAATTCGAAATTGGAAAGCTTTGTCGTTTGAGCAAATAACTGATAATCTGGATGATACTGTTGAAACACTATTGAAAGATATCAGCAACAATGTAACGCTGAAAATCTTAACCAAGCAGTAAGTTTTTTTTCCTGCAGTTTAATTTCAATTAGAATTCATGGAATACCTGAATAAGGGGGAAAAAACAACTTTTTTGTTCTATGTAAGGTGTAAAGAAAACTATAGCTTTACATCGGGCTAGACAATCTTTGTGGATTTTTGGACATAAAAAAGCTGGAAATAAAAAAAAGAAATTTTCTACAAGCTTTTATTTAATTTTTTTTTCTGACCACTCAACTGATTGTGTAGAACAAAAGGAATTGAAATTGAGATTGTTAGGGATTCGGTTGCCTAAATTGAAAAGAAATAATCTATTGAAGATATAATAACATATTTTTGACTAAAAACTGCCGGCATTGAAGTTTTGTTTAAAATAAAAATTATGACATTCTAAAAGAAGGCAAAAAAATCTGATTGTTTATGTGAAAAGTCATCTTTTTTTTTTGATTTCGATTTTTATCAAAAGCTTAAAAATATAAAATGAATTATTAGAAATTTTTTTCTATGAGTTGGCTGAAAACAAAATTTTTGTGAGAACAATATGGAAAAAAACCAAGAATGAATACCTGTCGAGAAGCTTCTATCCCAACAAATATCAACGTATTTTGAGATGTTTGGCAAACAACCTGCATTTGGGGTTGCTAGCCGAGCAGCCTTCCAGTTGCCTCTTGTTCTCCGCTCCCCCCTCTTAGACCCGTAACTCACAATTTAGGCTTTACTGTTCAGATCGCTAAGTGTTCTTCAGTAGTTGCTCTTGCTCATTCTTGATCTTAATCGTAAGAGATAGAAGGAAAAAAAGAATTGTTCGGTTACCAACATTTCAGACTGCTTGGCCGCTGAGGCCAAAAAAGCCCAAAATTTTGTCATGTGATTTTTGTTGAATATCAGCTAGTTTTTTTTTCTCTCTCGCTATTTCTATCATCATTCAGCGATCCATTTGCGCAGACTTTTCGGTGTTAATCATTAACAGTTTGTTCTGGCAATAGTTATACATAGAAAATTGTGTTGCTTAATGACTGTTTAAATTGCAAAAAGTGTCGAACACTGATAGTATTTGCTGATTGAACAAAAAAAGAGTGGGAAAATTGGCGAGATGAAAGCAAAGGAAATCAAAAAGTAAAAAAAAGTGCACTGTTGTGAAATGTTACAGAAAAAGACATATGAACGGAGCACATAACAGATTTGGATTCTGCTACATAGTTTGCTTTCCTTTTTTTTTTT